TTTTTTCCACCAGCAACCTATTCAGTAAAGATGAAAAGTAATAAGATCTCCAGATAAAAGTTATGAGGAAGTTATGCCTTCATATAGTTTTGGATAGATGTATTGCACCCCTGATGCAACCCCCAAATTGTTAACTTGAGAAAGTACCTACCCTGCCAGCACTTTGCTTGGAGAAAGATTTCACCATATGGGAAAGGCCATGTTCCAGCATTATAGAGTTGTTGTAGAGGAACTGCTGGAAAGTGTACTCCTGGTCATGTATTTGAAAAGTGTCAGGCAGAAGTGGGTGCCAGTGGTACAGGGTATTGAATTCAGCTGCAATTCGGTTCTGGTATTGGAATCGCTGGTTGAACAGAAGCTCAGGATCGAACTTGAGTTTGAAGTGGTAGCCACTCAAGTGTTGCACGTAATCTTCAATAACAATCTTGATTGTCTCTCCTGTTGGAGAAGGAAAAGGGACACAGTATTGGTACTAATTCCCTGAGGAACCCTATCTATGAGAGAACATACAATCTCTAAACTGTTCTGGAAAAAATACTATAGGGATCAGGATAGCAAACACTCCTCATCTTTCCTTAATAGTACAGAGAGAGATCCATGTATTTTATGCGACTAAAAGTAGGGGGTAGAACAGTACTTAAGAGCCCAAGTTTTTGGCTGTGGCAGACAAACCTTTCTTTGCCTTATAGCTTCCTTCACTCTGGTCCCCTCAAGCTACACTTAAATTTATTTTCCACAGAATTTGCGGAAAAACATACATTAGTATCAACATGGTGCTTGGTTACTATCTAGGACAGAGGTAGGGGACAATAAAGAAAGCTAGTATCTGAAAGCAACCTCTCAGCTTCTGAGCTGCTTAAAACAATTTTCTTTTATTGGTTTACTGTTTCATCCACGATTTGGGCACAGTCTTTCCAAACATGGTACGTGTCAACATTAACAGATGAAATACCACTTAGCAGACAATTAGACAGGAGAAGTATGTGCAATAACATTTTATGTAGCTTCCTGAACTTTAGACTTAACCACAGCCCCTCTTAAAGCATATCTGAACTGACCCAACCCCAGAAGAGAAAAAAAAGAAAAAATTCTCTCAGAGCAACTGAGGTCATCTAGCCTCACAGGCCTCCTCTCTGAGAAACGAATCTTAGCTTCCCATCTTTTCACCGCTTTCAGTTCTGTTTCCCTTAAATACCGGAATTAATTATCACTTGACTCAATTTTCTTCAGTTTTGGTATTTAACATAGCAGGAGGCAGCTGTATTTTAATGTGTCAGGTCATGAAGGCTCAGATTTATGCCCTCATACAACAATTAAGTAACAGTTTTTCCTCTTACTAGATCTACTGCAGCTGCAGTACATCACAGGTAGAAGCATCAAGCTCAATGAAACATTTGAATTGCACGTAGTAGAAGTTACACTCACCTATCAATATGAGTCTAGTAGTTTGGAATAACTGCTCATCATCCCACTCTGGATGCTCCTGTTTCAGGATGTCACAGACCCGATTGTGTTCTCTCAGCCATATTGTAGCATACATCATTAAACCTGGGACCAAACCAAACACCTCCTGCCCGACAGAAAACTGCAAGTGTTCAGGAACATGAGGAGGGTAGATCATCTCTGCCTGAGTGTCCTTCACTGTGGGTGGATACATTTCCCCATCTATCATCTGCCAAAGAGGGCACACAGGAGGAAGGGAGAAAGAAGAGGAGAGTCATAAGCTATCATGCTTATGAGTTACGATGTATTGACTCTGTTAGCACTGACTTAAAGCAAGCAACACTGCAAGCAGAGCACTAATTTTAAGAAATGTTATCTAATTAAAAGGCGGGAAGATAAGACATACCTGGTATTTTAGCTTTCCATCCTTGAGAAGTCTCAGTTTAAGCTGTCTCTCCAAAGTCTCTCCATAAATGTGATTCAAGTCAACCTGTAAAATAAAAGCATTTGGAACATGAAGACAAGCTACGTTTTTTGCTATTTTAGGATAGGTCCTACTTCTGTGGATGCCAATACGATTTCATCCCTTTAATGTTTACCTTTTAATTATAATATTGTTACCTTATAAGTATCACACAATGATATTTAAGTTGAAGCCAAATTATTTCCTGGCAACTGGAGCAATCACTCTGTAAGTTTTTAAATTGGACTGGCAATTTAAGAGGACTCTGTTTAGAGTGTCAGCAGCTTTTTATTATGCAGCCAGCTCTTTATATACACAAACATTTTACAGCTTTCTGTTTTAGACATACACACAACATTCATATTGAAAAATTCTTTATCCAAAGGCTGTCTGCTTTGTAGATAAAGATCTTAAAATTCAAATTTGCTTTTGAAGTTCTTTTTAATTTTAATAGACCTAACATATTAAGCAAAAGCAGATTCTTGGGAAAAAAAAAGTCATAGCCCTCACTGTACAGAGCCTTTAAAGAGAATTATGTGACTATTCAGTCACCAGAGTTTTGCCTCCCCTCTTCCATAACTTCCTGATTTGTTGCAGGGCACGTTGAATGGTATATGTACTAGTCTTTGTGCATTCTGACTACCTGTAAGGTATCATTCTAGCTGGTTAGTAGCTGCTAAGAGCTAAGTGCTGTGTTCAAGTTACAGAGCTATAGTCTTACCCCATGGCCAAGAGCTTTAGTGAAACCAGGTCCTTTCTTGTGGTCTGTCTTAAAGAACTGATGAGTGAAGTGTTGGGCAAAGAATGTGAACATCACATTCGTGCCTTGTGGGTCAGGAATAAATTTTTTCCGCAGCAAAAACTTCTCCACAATCAGCTTTGAATCTGGGAGTTCTTTCTTACCTACAAGGAAAAGAAAATCTCCTTATAGTAAAGTGAGATGTTCAAGACAGCCATGGTTACTACTTAATTTTGTTCCTAACAAAACAGACTTACTATTTTCAACTTATTAATGCAGGATTCAACAACAAACACCAGAATGGTTATCTTTAAGGTCATTACACAATATGCAATACATGGTTATCCTCAAAGTCAACTACACTGTTAAAAGGTTGTAGACAAGCTTGCCTGTTGGTGTTTTCTAAGACAAAAAGATAAATAGGAATTCCTAGAAATGAACGTTATGCATCTGTTTTATTCCTTACCTTTAACACCCATTGGTGTTGGACAGTCACGTCCTACCGGGGGAAGGCTTCTTGTGTAATAGGAAAGATTGGAATAAGTTTCCCAGTTTTTGTAATTATAGTCACTATTGTAAGTTGGTGGGCTGTCAATCAAATGTGATCTTGCTGGAAGAGAGAATAAAAATTATATGTATTTGTTTTTATTTTAAAACTATACCTTTCAGACTCAAGAAGTAAGTCACATGGCCAGATTGTTTCCATATATTTTGCCAGCAGTTGCATCAAATTCCACACATATAATCTCATTTCACTTCAGTAACTGATGGTTGCTGAATAACAGGAATAGGTTCTGAATTAGCAATTGGATCCAACTATTGAAATTTGCATCAAATGGTTCATGTTATGCTATATGCTAGCAAAATCCTAGATTTTATCAGTGATGAGAGCAAAATGCATTTCTGTCTGAAAGCACATTTCACATCAAGTGTGCAATGCACCGAAATCTTAAACTTTGTTTAGAGTGTTTTTACCTTAGTGCATTTTAGCTTGCTACTTCATGAATAAACTGATCAAGTAGAGTATTCTGGAGTCCTACAAGTAGCTCCTGCCAGTTAAGAGTATGAGAAGGGAGAACTTATACTTACACGTCAATACATATCTCATAATAGTATCTCGTAAGAAGGGGATGTTGTTGATGATGTTCCAGACTCCTTTGAAGTGGGTGAGAATGTAATGGACAGTATTTGGCGTAGGTTTCAATGTTAGTTTCAGCCACGTGAAGAATTCCGCTGTGAGCACAGATGGAAAGATTGTAAGTTAGCTATTAAGAATAACCTGCAATTCTGGAATTGAATTCTCAAAGTTCATTTCCATGAGAATGGATCCAAGATACTTACGTGTTGTACAATTTTCCCCATAATATCCTGTCCTTGTGCAGTCACATTCATACCGGTCAAATCCTGTTGTCATGCATACTCCTCTGTTCTGACATGGGTTTGAGCAGCAAGGATTAGCTAGAACAAAATTAAATACTCTGATTAAAATAGTGTCTTTTATACCTAGATCAGTGTTCTCACCACACCGAGTGAAGTTTTTGGATGTAGGTTGACAGTGCCCTGAAGTTTAGTGTTCACTGGGATGTCAACAGAATGAGTACGCACTCACACTATACTTTAGAGAGCTATGGGTAACAGCTAACGACAAAAACTAGGAACTTGATATTGTGGACTGTGAAAAGCTTCTCAGAGCATTTGTGCTACCTCACACAGGTCAGTGGAGGCCTGACATCCTTCCTACCATACTTAAGTATTCTAGAAACCACAAAAAGTACAAGATAAAAAAAAAAATCGTTCTGGATTTCCACCTGGAAACCTACACTCCGTGAACCACTCCTAGGCTGCAAGTGCAGCGGAGCCCCATGGAAGCTCCTTACATGCCCAAGACAGCGGGGCCGTGATATGGGCCCTTGCCGGCCGCCCTTGCCGGCCTCTCACGGCCGCCCCCGGCCCGGCCCCCGCTGCCTCGGAGCCCGTTGCGCGTCGCTTTCACCCGCGCCACCGCAGCGGCCTCCCCGGCTGCTGCCGGCCCGGCGGGGACGGGTCGGGTCGCGTCGGGTCGGGTCGCGTCGGGTCTCACCTGCGTGGCCGGCAGCCAGTAGACCGAGGACCAGTGCGCAGGGTAGGATCATATCCCGGCGGGGCTCCGTGGTGCTGGTTCTGGTGCTGGTCGGGCTCTGCGGATGCTCAGCGCCGAGGACCCAGTGCTGCTCCCAGGTAAGCACCCGCCTATTTATCCCGGGCGCCGTGAGTCACCCCTCCTTCACTCCCCCGGGCCTCCGCAAAGTCACGAAATTGGGAATTTTTCGGCCCCGCCCCGCCGCCTGCTGCTGGGCCGACCCCTGGCTGGGCCCGCTGCGGCGTGGCGCCGGGGGCCGGCTGGGGAGGGCCGGGACCGGCCGGGAGGAGCCGTCCTGCTGCCCGGCAAGGTCCATCCTGCTTCCCGACGGGAGCCTCCCCCTGCCCGGCAGGGGCTTCCTGCCTCCTGCCCGACGGGAGCCTGCTCCTGGCCGTCAGGGACCTCCCGCTGCCCGTCGGCCCCGCCGCGCTCCCCCGGCCTGCTGTCCCGAGGCCCCCAGCGCCCCCATTTCCAAGCCCGGTTTCCAAAACGCCTCCCGCAACTGGCCGGGCCCAGGCGTGTCGCGGTTAGTGAATAATCTGTGCACACAGTAATAGGCCATCCTGGATGTTCTGGAGAGGGGCACGAAAGTCCATAATTGCATGATTCTTCTGGTATAGCAAAAGGTGTGTATTTTGACTTTAATTTTAATTTCTGTGCTCACAGACACACAGACATGCGTGTGTAAGTATATGGAGATAGCACACTGCTGGCCTTGGTCACACTCTTGGCTGCCAGCTGCATGTATGTGCATCTGTGGTAGCTGAGTGCAAGTCACGACTTCGTACAGGTTGTGCAAGGGTGGTTCAGCTTCTCAGGTGTGAGACGGGGATCTTCTGCTCCCGCATCAGGAGCCAGACTGACCAGCTGCAAAGCACGGGTGATGTTCAGGGTGTACAAAGGGGCAACTCCGTAGATCGAGCTTCTGGCTTTGTAAATTTTGTTTCCATTTTACACTGTTCCTATTGTGTCTTACAAGGCTTTGTAAGACTTCATTGAAAATGTCAGATGAGCAAGGTGTTACTTTTTAATAAGATGGGTAGGAAGCTGTAAATGCAGAAAGTATTTCTAAGGTGTAAAACCAGCAATGTTTAGGGGAAAACTGAATGAGCTGTGTGCTAGGGAATTCTCTCTGAAATGATAAAACATTACTGAGGGACCTGGAGAACCCTGGGGATAAGGATAACTTATTTTGGGTAAAGTTTTGATCTATTAGAAGTAAACGACGTGCAAATGGAGTAGAACTTCAGTTTCGGGAGAGGACGCTTGTCCTTGGCAAGGGGCATTTGTTGCAACCGCCAAACTGGTGAGTGCTTCTTCACCTTCCACCCTACTCCCTGCAGATGCAGGCTGGAGAGAGGAGGGCAGCCTGCGCTGCAAGGCATGGTGTTGATGCTTCTTGAGCAGGTCACGTGGTGAAGCATGGGCTGTCTGCTGGGAAAGGTCATTTGTGCAGCTGGTGGCTGTGGTGCAATTGGAAGGATCCTTCAGCTCCTCTCACGCATTGAAGCAAGATGATGGAAAATCAGGGGGATAGGATATTGCTGTTTTTCCGAAGGCTGCCCTTCACCCTCACGTATTGTTTTAGGATTGCCTGTAATCAAGGTTATGTGCTGGAATGGGATTTATCCTTACAAATAGGTTATTTTGCTGTGTCAAGACTCACCACCAGGTGGAGATTTTATGCCCCAACTAACAAATTCTCTAATTTTTTTTTTTAACATGCAAACTCTCATTGAAAAAAAAAAACCACCACCATTATTTTTACTTTAACGATAGTTGTTTTAAATATCCTCTGCTCCAGGTGAAAGCAAGCACTGAAACGTACTATCTTCCACAACCTCAACATTTTCTTCCTCAACATTTTTACTTCAGCTGAAGCATCTGGAGGCTGTGATACCCTTGTTTCTGTTTCCATTCCAGGTTGCATATGAAAGGTTGAGAAATGTATATAGAATATGTATTGAATTCATGCCTCTTTGCTGAGGTCAGTTTATTGGTTCCTATAGGCCAGGTCTCAGAAAAACACTGGAAGAGACACAGCCATCCATAGTAACCTCAGTAATGCCACCAGAAGGGTGGCAAAGGAGAAAATGTACCCCTGCCTTGGTGCTGTTCCATTTTTTCCCTGGCTCCTGAAAATCTAGAGCAAGTTCCATTGATCTGGGAAGAGTTATTTTCCTGGTGTGGTGTTTCTGTGTTAGGGAGATGGAGGCTTGGCAGAGTGGGAGAATTTGCTCATTGCATGTCTTCCTTGCAAGTTTTCAAAGCATCAATCCCTCCCCCCCCCCGCCCCAGTTATTTTCTTTCATTTTATCTGTAGCTATGGTTCAGCAGGAAAAATTAGGAAAGGCTTCATTTCTCGTTGGGGATATTTGCACCCATTAAGTGAATTTCAGCTTTGCCATTCTGAGATGTTTCTTAACAACTACCCATGGAAATTACATCATAATTGTATACATAGTGGAGTATAGGATAATGTAGATTTTTGCCCCATATTGGTAGGTAGAACCCCACCTGGCCTATTTTTGACAGCTCTATTTAAAGAAGAAGGTGTCTGAATGCAGTAGGATTCACTGAATATTACTGCCCCCTTCTGCTGGATGTTTGTTTCCTATTGAATGACATGATAAATGATGACCCACAGCTAGTTCTTGTTCTTCCTGCCATTTAGATGGTACCTTATTTTCAGAGTAAGCTCTAGCAAGTCAATCATTTACTACCTAAGCCACATACAGTGCTGTTTTGTAACCAAACTTCATGAGGTGAAGCTGTCATTTGAAAATTAAGTAAAAGGCTGAAAAAAAAAAAGTAGCTTCACTATAAAAACAGAAATGCATAATTTGAATTTTTGTTCTTCCAAAATTTCAAACTGTAGCTATTCAAAATGGCTACAAATACAAATACCTGCACTAGCAGATTATATTGTGCTGTCAAAAGAGATGTTAGAAGATGACTTTGTCATAAGATGCATGGGAATGCCATGGCCCTGTGGGCTTCCATGACAAGGAACTAATGCACAGCTGTGTGTGTCACAGAAATTAACTCAACCAATTTGCTGGAAAAAAAAAATAGAAGTAGTAAACATTGGGTGTTTTTAATATTGCCATGTTACGATCATAAATCACCTCCCTAAATTGGATTAGGAATCAAATAATAAGAATAGGTTTTTTAATGCCTTTTTGCTTTTCTGTTTTCTATCTGCACTCTCATTCCATATGGTATAAGAACTTAGACTTTTTAAGGAGGGGGCAATAGTTTATTCTTATTTTGCATTGTATTTGGTGAAAATAATGAAAAGCAATCTGCCTCCGAGTTACAGACGTATTAACATTGTAGCGAGTGAAATGATTTTTGTGCATATTCTATAGAATCCCCAGGAAAACTGCTTTTTACAGGCAAAACACACACTCCCATTTCATTGATTGGAACGCCATCAAGTGGAGGTGAACTAGAGCATGAGTAGCTGTCTAGATGCCAGGATGATTTTGACTTATGCCATTTTCACCTGTGTGGTGGGTTGGTGGATTTTCTGGTCACTTCCCAGATGTGATAGGTAGCAGAAAGGCTCTGTCCAGTTGGGAATGTTCTGGAGAGAGAGCATTAAACTCCAAAGACTGTGCATGTTCCCTAGTGAGGTGCTGATAAAGTGAGCTGGTCATTTCCAGTTCAATGAACATGCAGTATTTTTATAAAAGAATAAGTAGACAGTTAAGTAAAGCTATGTTTCTGTTCATAATTACAAAGATCCATGTCAGAACATTAACAGCTTTATGTTCATCAGGAGTTCAAAGTGTAACTTAATGTATCTGCTGCTCCAAATGAAACAGTGTTTGTGACACATGTGCAGAAACATGTATCAAATATTTATAGGCATTTGGCAACCTGTAATGAAACCAAATGTATTTTTTTCCTAACCCTTTTTTGCCATTACAGGTTTCTAATAAAGTAGGAAAGCAGGCCAAACAATAGGTCATGTAGATCCATGCATTACATGGTAAGAACATAGCAAAAACCAAAGATTTGTTGTATCAGCTGGTTCCAAGGAGTAAGCTGTATTAAAGCCAGAGGGGCTGTTTGCACTTAAGCCAGCAGCAAATTTCTCCTCAAGAGTTTTTAATATGTTTCAAATGTTTTCCCTTCCCTTGTGATTGTGGGAATCTCATCGTCATGTTTAATAGCACAGTAATTTCCTGGCAAGCGGGCCAATTTTATTTCTTCAGTCTGTACTTTTCTGTTCTTTTATTGCAAAACGTGCCCAATCTGAAGCTCGCTATCACCACCAGTCTGACTGTGTTGTAGCCGAAGCAAAGACACACTCTGGAGATGGTGGGTACAAAGATACGATAACAAATCTGGATGTTCTGAAAATGTTCTTGACACAAGAAGGAAGTCTATGTCTTTAAGATTCTTTTGCTGCCCTCTGCTAATCAGGAACATGTTCACAGAAATCTTTGGTTATGTATTTGCTTGAAATTTTCATGTAATCATCTGTGGGTTTGCCTGGCCAGCGCTGCCAGTTCTCTGTCTCATCTTCTGAGTTCTGGAGTGCTCTGGTCATTTGGGTCACAGTTTCATTGGGACTCTGCTGGAAAACAAAAATAGGCTCTGCTGGAAAACAAAAATACTCAGTTACCTGGGTTTAAAACAAGGGAGGTTTATTTATTTTTCCAGGAAAATCATGGTAAAAACACACTTGATTTGTGGAGCTTCTAGACTAGAAATTTTGCTGTTGTCATCTGGTACTCCAAAACAATTTGTGACAGTGAAAATGATGCATGAATGGAAGGTATGTGAGGTCTGGGATCTGGGTGGCTGTGCTCCAAAGCAAAATACCATGGACAGTGATTGGGAAGAGCGGCTTGGGAAAGTGGGAATATGCCTTAAATCCAAATCAGTTATTTTCTTCTGGAATTATCCAAAAAAATGTGGTAGAAATGGTGGGTAGGTGGCACAAAAAGCTACTGCAGATTTAGGCAAGATCTGAGCAAGTTTGGGCCCTAATTTTTTTTTTTGTTTTGTCTTCATGGAAGCTTACCTCTGCATTTCAGCTATCAAAGAGGAAACATAAATCCACTGCTTGTGTTTTATTTGGAAGCCAAGAGGAGTTTGAGGGGATGCTTTCCAATATGGGAAAGTTGCAGTTTCTTTTGGCAACATCTTCTCATATAACTCTTCCCTTGCTTTTTTATCAATTGTTCTTGTTTTAATCCTCTGATATTCTGGACAGAATAGTTAGTTTTACTTAGTAAAACTTAGTAAAACTAAGGTGAAATGACTTAATGTCAAATTTAACGAGTGAGATGAGGTGTGGAACAAGACACCTGTGCTCTTCAGCTTCATCGTGCTGCATCCTGGCCATTTTTTTTCCCAGTGCTGTCTGTTTGCTCTGTAATTTATTTGCCATTTATCCATAGTATAACACCTCTATAGAGTGTCTGCACACTTCTTGGTGCTTGTTAAATAGCAATTTGTCCCAAAACTAGACAGAAAATAAACAAGAATTGCTCATTAATAACTGCTAAAAATTGAATCTCAGCCAAACCACCCAAAGCAAGGGTGAGCTCTCTACTTTGGGAGGTTACTAAACATTGAATTCATGTCGCTTTAAATGAAAGTCAATCCA